GTTCAGCTGGGGGGGGGGCGGTCTTCTCTTATCTGCCGATGATGCGCCCACCTGGGGGTGGGTGGTCTCTGTCATTTTGGGGGAGGCTCGGAAAAACGAGCTATGCTATTTATCTCACAGGCTGGGGTGGCCATCGGACGAGGATTGCACCGTCCGGTCCAGCGGCTGGGCGGTCATTCCCCCTAACCTGTGCCCACCCTGTCTGGGCCAAAGTTTGGCATTCCCTAAGAATGAAAGGTCCTCACCTGTCAAGGGCAGCTGGGAGGGGTGGTCCTCCCAAAATGTCCCACCTACATGTAGGGCAGGTAGCCCCTTCTGACTCTGTGTGTGTGTTGCATTGCTGCTCCTAAGGCTGGGTTAGGGTGACCCGTAAGGGGAGAGATGTGGCTAATAGTTACGGGGCACTCAAAGGCCGCAAGGGAAAGAAAGTAGGATGCGAACGAGTGCAAGAGTCGTGGGCAAATTGTGGGGCCTTTCAGACGATACCTAGTTGGTGGTGGTTGTGGGTTTTTTTCGGGCTCTTTGGCCGTGTTCTGGAGGTTTTTCTTCCTACCTTTTCACCAGTCTCTGTGGCCATGGGCATCTTCAGAGGACAGAGGAAGAAAAACCTCCAGAACACAGCCGAATGGCCAGGAAAACCCACAACAACCATGGTTAGCACATGGTTTTCGCGCTCTGGATGAACAGAAGCCGGGTGGGACTCTGATGGCAGCTGGAGGGGGCGTCTCCCAGCTGGGACGGTGGAGCCACCTCGCGTGTCAGGGGAGGATCGTGCCTCTCAAAGGGCAGCTGATTCTGGGCTGTTGGATGTGACACGGCGGTGCCAAGAGGGAAGTGTTCTCAGTCAGATGAAAAATAATCGTTTCTGGTGCTGTGCCCTTGGCCGAGCGCCAGCCCCAGGTGAGCACATACCTGGCACCTGCAAGGCGTCTCTTGCGGTGCCAGGGAGATTTGGGCCATCTCAGCAGGTGGACTTCTGACCTAGATCGGCGTTTCGCCTTGCGCTGGCGCAGAGCAAACTGTTGCAGGTCCAGTTGCTCCGTCAGCCTGGACGGATGCAAACGAATAATAGGCTTTTGCTGGGGGCAGGTTTGAGCAGGCGGCGCCCTACCCGCTCTCCAAACAGAGAACGTGATCCCGTTTTTGTTCTGCCGGGCCCACTGGCCACCCGGTCTCCCTCAGAGGGACCGGTTTTGTCTCTCTGTGGAAGCACGGAGCACACGTCACTGGCCCCTGATGGGAGAGGGGACAAATCCGTGCGTGTGTTTGGCAAGGTGCCTTGTGGCCCACCTGCTTGGCCGTGCCAGGCAGCTGACGGTTTGCGGGACTGGACTGAAGATAGGATAGTGCTAACCCTTCACCTGCGAAACCTTGATGCGTGCAAACTGCCTGGCGGAGGGATCTGCCCCCTTCAAAGCCCATCTGGCTCTGCAATGTGGCTCCGAGGAGCTGGACCGAGAGGCCTTTCCCCGTCGGAGGCTTCTCTCCCTGCTTACGCAGCAGCAAGAGAGTCTCGGGAGCTGCCTGTTTTCCCCGCAGGGGGAACCTTTTGCCTGCCTCGCTCCTGCCGTGCAGGTTGTAATCTGAGAGCTGCTTGCCTCCGTGTTCTGATCAAAAGCTTGCGTCGCCCTGGCCTAATCAGGCGGTGCACCCCCTGCCAGGAGCAGCTGCACGCCTGCCTGCGCTGCAGCATCCTCAGGAAGAGGTCTCACCATTCTGTTGAGGCAGGAGGAGGAGGAGGAGGAGGAGGAAGGCCTGCCGCCAGAGTCCTGTTCAAAGGAATTGGCTCAGGGGGAGCGTCTCTTGCTGCCCGAGGCTGCTGCTGAAAGGCCCTGCTCCGGCTCAGGTTCTTTCTGCCCAGCAGCCCCAGGTGGCGAAAAAGAAAGAGGGCGGTGCTTTCAGGCGCGGCCGGTTTTCCAATTAACTTTGCTTCTAGGGATTGCAGGCACATTTGGAAAAGCAGCCCAGGCACACCGACCCCCCCAAAAAAACCCCCACCAAGGAAGCAAAATGGCTGGATGTCCTCGTTCTCTCGGTGCCCTTGGAGGGAGTCCTTGGCCCGGTGGGGAAGGCAGAGTTGGGCTGCCGGTAGGAGGCAGTGCTCAGTCCCTCCAAGCCCAGAAGGGGTCCCTGGGTCAGAGCAGAGCGTTTGTGTGTTTCCGCTGGGACCCTTTTCTTGACGGTGGCGGTGTCTTAGGTGGGCGCCTCCACCTAAGGTGGAGGCCTTCAACCCGAGCGAACGTTGGTCTGGAGTCCTTGGGATTTGCCTTTCCAAACTATTGAGCCGAGGGTCTGCCTCCAAGGAGGTCGAGTACAGCTGCTTAAAGGCAGCCGGAGCAAACCTGCGCCCGACGGCTGCCCAAATTGTTCCAACAAACGCAGCGTCCGGAAGGGTCTGCACCAGGCAGCGTTCCTTGGGGAGAGCTTCCCCCCAAAAGGTGCACCCCACAGCAGCTCCCCCCCTCTTTCCTTCTCTTCTTCACCCGCTGTGTTGCCAGGTGGCTGTGTTCAGAAAGGTGCCCGGAGGAAGTGCAGGTGGTGGGCAAGCCCACATACAGCGTACAGGAGGGTGTCGGTGGTCGCAGCCGGCGTTGTCTCTGCCAGAGCCTGAAGTAGATTTTGTGCAAGCCCAAGTCTCCGCCTGGCGTCCTCTGCTTGTAGGACCAGTGTTCCCGTTGCTCATGCTGGCTGGGGGTGATGGTTGCCGTGCTCCATTGCATCTGGAGGGCCCGGTGACGAATGCAGTCCCCTTCCTGGCAGCCCCGCGCAGGACGTTTCGCTTCCCCCTGGCAAGAGCTTCTTCCATTGTGCCCCATGGGGTCTACAAGCCTGCCTGTGTAAAGCTTTCTAGGCTTCTGGAGCGGTCCGCCTTGGGTGCTGACGCGGCCACCCCTTATCATCTTTGGCTGCCTTTTTGCCTCTTTTTTCCGGGGACCGCTTGCTCTGCTTTCTCTAACCCCTCGCCCCTCGCTCTGTCTCTCAGGTGCCACAAACTCCAGGATTCCCTCCTCAGCTCAGCCAGTGGCTACAGCAACTACCGGGGCATCTTGAATTGGTGCGTGGTCATGCTGGTGAGTAGTGCGCCCCGTGCCGCCCCTCCTGCTTCCCCACCGCTTCCTGCTCCAAGGCTTGAAACCGGAGGGTCCCCGAGCCTCCGTCCCAGGGAGCCTCCCGGCATCAGCGGCCCGCTTGTGCCTGGCAGCCCCGAGCGAGCGAGTGCCGGCTCCTCTTTGTCCTCCGAGCGGGGGAGCTGGCCCGCCTCCAGCCAGACGGCTGTGCTCCAGAGGGAAGGCGGCCGGGACCTCTTGGGCAGCACAAGAGAGGCCATTGTGGGGTCAGTGGCTCCAGCCTCCCAGCCTCTGGGCCTGCAGGGAAGCGAATGCTCACAGGGCGCTTTGCCTGGGGGAGAGGGTGCGTTTGGTGGCCAGCTGGCTTCTCCCCAAGGGCTGGTGTCTAGGCATCTGTGGGGGGGGCTCTCCTCTCCCCTAGAAGGCCTTGTCCTGGCTCTGCTTCTGCTGGCCGTCAATCTTTGGTTCCCGGCGGATCTGCATTGAGGGGAGGAAGGGTGCGTTGCTGTTGAAAAAAAAGAGGAAAGAAAACTCACAGGGGCCAGTCGGCCGCAAGAGGGCTACTTGTCGCCGGGGCCTCTGGTGAACATCGGGAGCCGAGAGGAAATACTGTGTGTGGGGGGGGAGGAGAGCGAGAGGGGGGTCCCTTTCTGCTCAGGGCTCCCTGAGGTTTGTGCTTGTCTCTGCCATTCAGAGGAGGCTGCAGCTGTGAGAGGGCCTCTGTTGGGACTATGGTGGTCGGAATTTCTGAGCCACAGCCATGGCCCACTGGGGATTCTGGGAGGGGTAGTCCAGAAGAGGAAACCTCCTGCCCGTTGAGGAGGTCAGTACTGAGAGCTCCCCGCAAGGGACCTAGGTCCCCCCACCCCACCCCGATATTTCTCGGCAGGCAAGGACTCCTGGTTCAAGAGGGGTGCGTTGCTTCCCTCACGAGACGTGGCACAACCTGCTGCCCCCTCGTCAGTGGAAACGAGGTCCGAAACCCATCAAAGAGCAGAGTGGCGGAGGAGAAGGAGTCCAGAATCACGTGCAAGCGTTGTTGCTTCTGGACACCTCCCTGCAAAGCCTCCGGCTTCTGATTTGCCGCCACCACCCCCGCCATGCCAAACCTGCACCGCGAATGCGTTCTGTCTCCTCCCGCACCCTTGGAAAGCGGCATTGCATCCAGTCAAGCATGCTCAGCGCAGCTGTTCACTGGCCGTATGTGTTATGCCTCGGCATGCTTCTGCAGAGCCAGGAGCATGAGCTGCGGGGAGGGGCCGTGCCTTGCCATGGGAGCCTGGGGGAGACGAGTGCCAAGGAGAGCGTCCCCATCAGCTAGCAGGTGGGGTGGGTGCAGGCGCAGGGGGCGCCGCCTGGCCTTGCCCTTGCTTCCTGGGACCTGAGTTAGCCGCAGGTAGGACAGCTCGTCGGACTTGAAAACTTGGGTCCCCAAGCATCCCAAGCTGCTCTGGAGAGGAGATGCTGGGGAGGAAGACGTTTCTGATCAGCTGCTCCTTCCCCTGCCACCACCCCCCCCAATGCAACCTTGGAATACATCAAACCGTGTCCGGTTTGGGAGACTAAGTGGGGCCAGGCCTGGCTTGTTCTTGGATGGGAGACCACGCAGCAAAGCCACACATCTCTGGTAGCTACAGAGATCGGTGCCCGCAGATACAGGACCTCCTTTCTCCTGTCGGTCGAGGAGGAGAGGAAGGCCCAGCCCCACTGAGGTGCTCCAAGGGGTCGGCTAACATGGGCTCCAGATCCCGTATTGAATTTGTTTCTGCAGCTGAACTTGGGAAGGCTTAAAAGGTGCCGCTGGTGGTGCACGTGCATCTGGGTTGTCCTCCGAATGTATGCCGTCTGCTGCCTTTGGTTGGCCTTTTGCCCCTGGCTGGCAGCTGCCCCCCCCCATGACTGGAAGGGAGCTGAGAGCTCTTCCGTGGCCTCTCTTTGGTCCTCCGGTGGCTTCCTTTTCTCTGCAACCTTAGAAAGCTGTTTGGCTGCCAAGGAACAAGTTCTGAACTTTCTGCCTTATAAAGGAAGACTCTGAGAAATGTACGGTCGGTCGGCAATATAAAGGGGAATAATCAAAGCTTCTTTAAATATGTTAGAAGCCAGAAATCTGCCAGAGGAGCGGTTGGCCCTCCGGGTGGTGAGGGAGGTAAAGGGGGACTTGGAGATTGCAGAGAAGTTAAACGAGTTGTTTGCATCCGTCTTAAGACCTCAGCCAGTTTCCATTGCCCGAAGGGCTCCTCCGTTTGCATCCGTCTTCACGACAGAAGACCTCGGCCAGTTTCCATTGCCCGAAGGGCTCCTCCTCGCTAATGAATTAAATCACGGACAGGTTAAAAAGAGAGGATGCTTTTAGACCTAATTGATAAATTGAAGATCAATCAGGCACAGGTTAAAAAGAGAGGATGCTTTAGACCTAATTGATAAATTGAAGATCAATAACTCGCCAGGCCCGGATGGCCTCCCTCCAAGGGTTACTAAGGAACTGAGGGAGGAAGTTGCTGATCTCTTAACTAAAATAGACAACTTGTCCCTTAAAACGGCCACAGTGCCAGAGGACTGGAGGGTGGCACATCTCATGCCAAATTTTTAAAAAGGGAAGGAAGGGGACCCAGGATAAACTATAAAGCACACACACAAAAAAACAAGCCCTGCCGAGGGAGAATCAGCAAAGTCAGGGTCAGTCTTGCCTCACAGACCTAGAATTCTTCGAAAAGGTCAAGAGGCACGTGGATGCGGGTGAACCAGTGGGTCTTGTCTCTCTGGATTTTCAGAAGGCGTTTGACGCAGTTCCTCACCAAAGGCTGCTGAGAAAACTCCACCATCAGGGGACAAGAAGGCAAGGTCCTCTGATGGACTGAGAAGTGGTGGAGAAGCAGGAAACAGAGAGTAGAGGGTCAGTGGGCAAATTTTCACCATGGAGAGAGGTGAAGAGTGATGTGCCTTCAGGGATCTGTCCTGGGACCGGTGCTTTTCAACCTGTTCATTAATGTCCTGGAGACAAGGATAAGCAGTGAGGTGGCCAAGTTTGCAGAGAACGTGAAACTTTTCTGGGCGGTGAAGACCAGAAGGGATTGTGAAGAGCTCCAGAAGGATCTCTCCACACTGGGAGAATAGTTGAGGCAAAATGGCAAATGTGTTTCAGTATAAGAAAATGTAAAGTAATGCACACGGGGGAAAAATATCAAAGCTATTCATCAGCTGATGGGTTCTGAGCTGTCCATGACAGATCTAGAAAGAGATCTTGCTGTGCTGGTGGGCAGCTCGATGAAAGGGTCAATCCGGCCTCTTTCGTCCTTGTGGCAGACTGGCACAGGACATGAGGGGTTTGGGGGGGCAAGGAGGGCCCTGCTGTCTGCCCTAGTTGAGGATTGCCTCTCCCCCACGGTCCTGTCACTTCACTTGCATGATTGGGACATATAAAATGGTGCAGGGGATGGATCAAGTGGAGAGAGGGGGCCTCTTTTCCTTTTCACGCAATACTAGAGCCGGAGGACATTCACTCCAATCGAGGGTTGGGAGAGGGAGAACAGTCCAAAGAAAATCTTTCTTGACACAACGTGTGGTTAGTCTGTGGAACATCTTGCCACTGGATGTGGTGATGGCAGCTGGCCTACATTCATTTAAAGGGGGATTGGACATATTCCTGGAGAAGAAGGCCATTGCAGATTAAAAGCCATGATAGGGGTGCAGGGGGATCAGGAGACAGGTCTCTCGTGGTCTCTCGTGTGCTCCCAGAGGCATCAGGTGGGGGCCACATTGATCTACAGGAAGTTGGACTAGATGGGGCTCTTCTTACGCTCTTATGTAACATTTAGCATCTGACGTTCTTGTGTTCTGCCTGGGGCGCTTGGCCAGATGATCTTCGGGCCCCTTCCCCCTCCTCTTCCTTCTCCTGGCCAATGGACGGACTTGTGTAATGCAGAAGTGTCAAAGGGGGAAACCTGGACAGTCCTTGTGCTTACTTTATTTTATTTTATTTTTATTTTATTAGATTTAGCAGTCCTTAACACAGCCACATCTCTGAAGGGTGGCTCTTTGCCCAGCCGTCCCCGGGAGGAAGCAAGGACCCCACCTGGGGCAGGTGACTTGTGGGTGTGGTTCGTGGCCGCCCAGTTGGCAGCTTGTTAATCCAGGGCTAATGATCCCTGCTTTTTGTGCCTCTTGCCCTTCTCCTCCCTGCCTTACCCCGAGTCGAGTCTCCCTCCCACCTTGCCGTGGGTCTCCGGAGGCTCCCTCCCCCTTCAGGCCCGGCTGGAGACGTGGGCTGCTGCCCGTCCGCAGGAGCTTCTGCCCCAAGGGTGCTTAACAGCAGTGCCCAAACTGTGGCTGCTCGGGAACCTTCCAGGCCACATCAGGAGGAGGAGGAGCAAGCCGAAGCCCGCACAGACCCCTGAGAGGCACCAGACCTAAACCAGGGCAGAATAGCAGGGCAGGTAGACCCTGGCGGGCGGGCAGGGAGGGGGCTGTCGAGAGGGCAGGGCCCGGGGGCTGGGTGTGGCAGGGACAACGGGTATACAGTCGTTAGGAGAAGATCTGGCTTGCCACATGCCCTTTGCCCAGGCACCCTTTGCCCTGGCTTATCTGCAAGGGTCTGTCTTGTGAAAGCGGAGGCGGG